ATCTATCTATCTATCTATCTATCTATCTATCTATCTATCTATCTATCATCTATCTATCTATCTTTGCACAGGGCCAATGTGATTATTTGTTTTGCTTGAATGTACAAATTTGTAACGGAGGTTTTGTTTTTCTTGCTTTTTTTTTCCAGTAGGGGATGGAGGCGATAGAAGGGAGACAAAGCAGATCTGAAAATAAAATTTAATTAAAAAGTAAAAATAAAAATAAAAACAAAAACAGAAAATGAGGAAGTGGGTTGAGATGGCCTTTTAGAACCATCTTTTCCAGCTTTGGGTTTATGATCCTAATCCCTTGTTTTGTTCATCTGTAACCCCTTCCCATTATATGGCTCATAGTTTCTGAAAGCTAAATGTTTATAGACCATATCGATCAATCAATAAGAATTTATTAAGAGCCTACCATGGGTCAAACACTGTACTAGGTGCTGGAGAAATAAAGAATGAAGCAATTCATATTTTCAAGGAGCTAATATTCTAATGGGGGAGGAAAATGCCTATAACACACACACACACTCACACACACACACACATAGTATAAACATAAAGTGAATAAACATAAATATATACCAAGTAGTTAGATAAAAGGCAGTTTGAGAGGGACTGCACTAGTAGTTACAGGGGGAATAAAAAAAAGCTTCAGGCAGAAGATGATGCCTGAGCTATACCTTATCAATCAGTCAATCAGTGAATATTTATTAATCACTTATTATGTGCCAGGCACTGTATGTTAAGTACTGGGGATACAAAAGGAGGGAAAAGAGAGTTTCTGTCTTCAAGGAGTTAACAATCTAATGGGAATACTAAGGGAAGATAGGGACTCTGAGGTAGAGGTAAAGGGGTAGCACCTTCTAGGCATGGGGCCAATGCAAAGGTGTGGAGATGGGAGATGATGGAGTGTTGCGTATGAGGAACAGAGAAGAGGCCACTTTGGCAAGATTGAAGAGTATGGGTAGCAATGGGGAACAATGTCCAGTGAGGTTGGAAAG